TAATAAGTTGTACTAATAGATATGTTCAATCTTTTCTTAGCCATAGTGTGTTGAGAACTTTCCTCATAATATTTAGGCAGTCGTGCTAGACATGCTCACAGTTAGGGAGTACTGAACGGCTTTTGAAAATGCCACGTGGCGGTATTTGACTCACGTTTTGTGCCAGACAGTTATTCTGCTCTCTTTGAATGGAACTTTTCAGAGTAGCCCTTATGCTGCTATCACCAGGAAGCAGTCCTTGTCCTTTTACATTCAAGTAAAATTAACGTATTTCGGCGTGTATTACATATCTACCATTTTTTGAACATAAGCATGTATAGTGCCATACCCGATTATCGTATAGTCTTAATATCTTTTACTATGTGGCTCGTGTGATACTTTAACAATCTCGAAGAGTGCTGTGTGAAGGTTCAATGCGGGTTTATCTTGCGAAATGTAGCAATCCCTTACATAAAAGCTCACATGAAGTGTGGTATGACTAGAATGAATTCACTCGAGCATACTTACCTGCGAAATTGTTCTTATAATAAGAAAAACGTACGAGTCAATTCTAAATTCTGGTAACAGTCACGATTGCGGCACCATGGCCATGCGCATTATAGTGTCTAGAATATATTCATCTTGAATTTCTGTGTAAGCTCTTTCCTTGTTTTGATATAAACTACATAGGTTTCCCTCCTTGCATCTTGCCCAGTTTCACTTTGGGGATAATCCCAATGTAATTTGTTTCACTCTTTCAATTCTAAATTTGCCTAAACTTAGATGACGGCGGCAAACGATATGCCGGTGTCGTCGGCAGCGGCTGCGGCGGCAGCAGCAGCATCAAGCGATCCATTTGGTGTTCGCCCAGCTGGCGAACCACCTCGAGGTATCATCACCCATCCGGATGGTTAGTTTTTGCTGAAGTTTCATTTCCATTCTTTCATATATATATACTCTTTGCTCTTCAAATTGCTCGCGCTGCAAAATATCGGGTATAATTTTCGAATACGCATCAACCAGGATGTCTATTGATGCTATCATATCACGTGTGACTGCTGCAATCGCTTGCTAATTCATAAATTATCTTAGCTCTGCCTTCTTAAATTTTCCATTGGAAACCACCTGCTACAATGACTTGTTCTCGAAATTTTTGATGTGCTCTGTATGGTTGAAACCTTAACATATCCATCCCTTATCATCTAGCCAGCCGTAGGCCGATTTTTTTGATACTAGTCAGCCTCAGCAATAATTGCTTTGGTCTCTCTTTATCCCCTTCTCGTCAATAGTTTGCGGTCATAACAATGAGAACGCTTTTTCCATTATTGCAATTCATAGCACCCCCATAAAATGCGATATATGGCATTGACGTCAGTTTTAACATCATCGGAGACGCACTCAGTCAGATGTGTTGTTTTATGGTTATTATCGCAAGATTGTTAAGGTGAAGTGTCGAACATTCCTCCGACGATGCTTGCGGATCAATTCGGCATGGCTGGTCTCGTCACCTACCTGCGCACTGTCGACAATCCGTCGATAGTGTCATTAGCGCTCGGCTACGATCTCACCACGCTCGGACTGAACCTGAACCTTTCCGAGTAAGTTCTTATTTAGGTTGTTTAGATTGATAGATCTGAGCTTTGTCTTTTTTTGAATCATTTTCTTTAGTGTGGATGTTATTCTGCTGTTTGAAATTGTAGAAATATTGCGTTGATGTTCACGGAAAAAGTGTATTTGACTGGTCTTGCTAT